ATGTTAATGAAAGTAGTACTTTTACTCCTTTAAAATCACGAATAGATGCTATATTGAAACTTCATCCCCATCTAATTGGAAGTAAAACCATGAATTCTTTGGAATGTTAAATTTTTCAAGTAAAAATATTTATAAATCGCAATAATACGTAATACCGTTTCATATGATTCTCAGACAACAAAAGAATTTTGAATGGAACTTAAAACATCAAAAAAGCTTTGTTGAAAAAATTTTCTCCTCATGCAGGCCTCAAACACAACTCCAGGTCCAGAAAAACCATTCTTTGACAATCAAAATATCCAGCAGTTTTATTTACAGATCACAAGCCAATAATTTTATAATTTTCAATCAAACCCAAAAATAGAATTTATAGATTTCATCTTATCCTCATGAAATTTCCAAACCGACTAATAGTTTAGACCGCAAGAAAAAACCTTACTTTACCAGACGCTCTTAGTCGAAACACACCACCTGAATCAACAACACGGAGAACAACCATAGAAAGACCACAAAACATAAATTTTTTCCTTGCAAAAGACAAAACATCACCACGAATGGAATGCAAGTATGCAGTAGAAACCGATCCCGACAATACACAAACAAATACATTGGAACATTTTCCATTTTACCTTGAATGCCAAAAAAACCATTAAGAAGTAGATTTTCTAGGAAAGTCTCCCTTTAATCCATTCCATATTCATCATAGATCAAAAACAATATCCAACAAAAACACCTAAACAAAAGTGATATAGGAAAAACTTATTACCCCTTATAGAAAAAAAGAACTTGACTGATAACATGAACTAACCAGGACCTCATGATTCAAATTCCAAATATACCTTAAATAAAGTCTCAATCTGCCAGACCCCCTAGACAGTATATCTCTCTCGAAAAACGCAATTCAGAACATCTTTCTAGCAATTACAGCAGAATAACGCTAGAATGACTAAAAAAACTAAAAATTTTAGCCTGTCATCAGACAACTTAAATCCTGGCAGAAATATCAATCACAACATATTAAAGCAGATATCACAATCTTAGGGAAAAAACACTACTTAGATATCCCCGAAAATTCAATAGTACAACAATAAATGAAAATAATGACCTCAAAATATCAAATCCAAGTAAAAAAGTACCCTGTCTATCATTGAGCATGATATTAATAGCATTTCACTTTTCACATTTACTAAAAACAAAAAGACACGCAGGATCAGAAAAAACATGATCGCTTTTTTATTCAAAGTTTCTAATTTTCCAAGCATCAAGTTGGATAAAGTCTAATGCATTGATTGCCTAATATGTCAAATAAATGGGCCATATCCACATCAGAAACAATTAGCAGAAAAGTTTTTAAGGGACAAAGTTTATATTTTGACCACAGGGTATAATTTGACACGAAGGCCCTATATCGCCCTGCTCAGAAGGAAACTCATGCATAATGGTCAAAGTTGATACACTTACACATTATGTAGCACTTAATCCCGTGCTTAATTTGCGTAATCAAAACTTTTTGAACATTGAATATCAAGTTTGGATTACCAGAAATTTTTTTCACAGATAATGGAACTGAATTTATGAATAATGAAATCATCACATTATGCCATCTTTATAATATTTAACATAAGCCCGAACATCTCATAAACCCATGAACTGATGGTTTAGTCGCAAGTATGAAACGTTCTTTACAAGAATATCTTAGACGTTAAACTATTCCCATTAGCCTGTAATTCACAAATAGCAACAAGTCTAGGACTGTCACCATATGAAATGGTTTTCAATCGAAAACCACGGAAACTGATAATGTTCACAGCAAGTTCCTCAAAAAACGCACAAGTTTTTTGTCAACCTACAAAAGATGAAGTTTGTTACAATTTACCACTACATACACACGATGAAGATCCTTTTCATGACCCACAAACTCTAAAATTTTCCACTGGAACACATACAGAGTGGATTTCAAACCGAGATAAAAACAACGAAAGTTATTAAAAAATAGCCAAAAAACGATTACAAAGACAGAATATTCAATCTGAATTTATTTCACGCTGCACAACAGCCACCAATATAAAAATAGAAACCTATGTATTACTCCCAAACTTCATAATACACAGTGGAAGCTCTAAAAACTACAACCTATCCGCAAAGGACCATACCAAATTATTGAAAAACCCATATATGTTACATATAAACTTATTGATTCTAACAAAAAAAAATATTACAAAATAGGTACAATTTTTTACCATACAACCCAAAAAAATACGCTATTTGCGAATTAAAACAATTATACTCCTTTACAGGACTAACTATTGTAGAAAAACCCCCAGGAATTGACAACCAACAATGATGACAAATTTCAGATCATTCATGATTTTTTCCCGAAACAAATCAAAAACAATTAATTGAAAACACTCCCAAAGAGTATTCAAAAAATAACCAAAAACAAAGGACTAATCGTAAACAAGAAAAAAAAACTTAATACAAGAAACAAAAGAAAAATCACGACAACGCAAATCATCGCAAATCCGAAGTCAACCACGAAAAAGTTATAGAACTTTCATTCCACAATCTAAAAAATTAAAGTAGGTTGAATTTCAGAAACCACCCTCATTAATTAAAATACGTTCATTATACTCGTATAACTTCTTCTCCAAAACATTTCATTTTCAATCGTTAACAGATAGCTCAAATTCAACCAATCACAATCACAAACATCACCCCATTCCGACACCACGTTCACTATCCGACAAACTGCTTACTTCAATTAGATCTGAAACTATAACTAAAAACGTTCAGGTCAAAAAAGCAATATCCCCATTTTTGACAAGTTAAAGAGTTATAATATAAATGTTACAACCCTCCAACATCACTGACTACAACAATCAACAATATTATCGCAACTTACACCCCACAGTTAATCAAAAGAGAAATATAAAGTAGGCCTAAATACAAACTGTGTCACGTTCATATAGCCTTAAGTCGACATAAGTAACTTCAAAATCCCTACCATGCAAAAAATAAAAACAAAACTAATAAGCTAATTTCTTAACCTCCAGACTTTAATTCACCAAAAACTTACCATATCTAACCCACTTGTCAAAAAAAAACAAATAATCCGACCACACTCAATTTCCAACCCAAAAAAAATGAAAAAAAAAATTTTCAACAAAACAAATCATTTCTCAGTTGCTTCTCTCTAGACCAGCTCAATATTTTAAAATAATCATTTGCATAATTTTTACAATTTTGTATTTTTTTGTCATAGATATTTTAGAAATAGCACTTCTCCTTTTCAAATTTTTTTGCAGCCTTTTTGTAATTTTCTACTCCATCATAAAAGCCTACTGTAACTTCTCGAAAATTCTTGAGCACATCCTCAACGAAATTTCAACAACTTATTAAATGATACGACATTTATTCACTATGAAAAACATCTTTCTTTTTTATGAAACTTCTCTCATCTTTCTAGTTTCCCTAATTTTAACACCCAACTTGTATATGCATGAAAAGGCAATTATTAAATTTGCACTAGCATTAATCTTCTTATTATTTACATCGAAGAATACTATAAGCAACATGAGTTTAATTAATAAAAAAGTATCCAAAATATTCACAATTGCTACACAACAACCAACTCAACAATCCTCGTCAAACACTACATCCCAAGACCCCCAACAACAACAACATTCAGTCAAGCAAATCAATCCCAATCATCCACACGCATTTCATTTCAAGAAAATCCCTTTGCATTTGAAGAAAGACACGCATCCTTATCTGAACCTTTGATACCAGCAATCCGCCACGCACACATAAGTGAACCACAATACGAACCAACGTATTACATCTACCCCTCACTCCAACAAGATCTTATTAGAACTACACATCCCAGCCGAAGCCAAAATCAATCATCTACAATACATTGACAAAATAACCATCCCCGAAGAAGTCGAAACTTTGCAACATCCAGAGTTCATCTTGATATACCCTCATCATCACCTTCAACCCCTTTGGATCACTCTAGTAATACAATCCAAAGTACTTCCCCATCATTACGAACAATTTCTCAACAGAATACCCCAAGTGTTCCATCGGACTATTTAGAATCAACACGAACTTCTGAACAAATTAGTGAAAATCCTTTTAGTCCCTTCAGGATTATTAATAAACTCTTCAAAGTGCGCATAATTTATTCCCGAACATGGAAAATTTGGCAATTTTTGAACCCCAAGAGTTTTACAAAAAATGATCGGAGATTTTGGTTTGAACTCAGGAAGTTGATATTTTCAATCAGGTGTAAAAAATTTTGTTGAAAATTATTATTTCGGTTGGTGAAAATTAACTGAATAAAAAAACCACACCGAGCATAAACATTCCGTTTTCTTCGAAAGTCGGAACAATAAAAATTAATTTTGGAAATTTTTTCAAATTATGCGTGTAAGATAGTGGTTATAATGAAGGCACTTCGAACAAAAATTCCTGTAACAAAAAATTCGAATGTTTTTTAATAAATTTTCTACTTAGAGTTGGTTAATGTTTTTTAAATAAATTTTCTACTTATAATTGATTAGCGATTCAAAATTATTTTGGAGACACCAAAAAACCAACTTTGACGAATAATGTCATATAGCTGCAGACGTGTTGTATTGTATGTGTTGCATAGGTATATATAGATAAAATTATAGTTATCTGTCAAAAAGTTATTCTAAAAAGTCTGTGGGATTTTCAGTTAACTCATCTAGCGAAACGAGTTGTTTAGCCTACGAGTTTCCGTTATTGTACTCTGTGACAAGCACAAACTTTTAGACCTTATTTTTAAAAGTTTTATGAAAAAACTTGCGAAAGAATAGTCCCTATCTTACAACTTTGTTATAAGAAAAAATCCTCATCATGTAACAACCTTAGAGCTAAACTTTGTGAGAAATGGTAAGATTTTTAGAAGAATAGTTGTAAGATAGCGACTTTTGGTGATCTCGGGTGAGATTGGTGATGTTTGTACTACATAGGTAGACGTCTTCAACTTGCCCACCCAGAAAATCAGACAGAACGAGTCATGTTTGTACTATGGCCAGACAAACGAGACTCTGCTGCAGGCATGTACGAGACTGAACAACAGCGCCATAGCCGACCAGTTGTTCTGCAACAGGACCACTAAGAAGTGCTACGTGTTCGTAAAGCCCCACCAGCTGGAGCTGAGCAATGCAGGCGGTGCAAATGGAGTGGGACGCGAGTACTATCACAGGTCGTAAGTACATGCCACACCACAACACACTCTCATCTCGCAATTGATCGCACCATTTTAATTTGCTGAGACTCTAGTCAACTTTTGACTCCTGTATTTTAGTTTTATGTAAACCCAATTTGATAAAGTGCATATGAAGCTTTCAATTGTATTAAATCACAAGCAACAACTGGTAGCATGTCAGTCGCATAGCAATTTGGTTTAATAAATGTGCAAGTAATAGGGAAAAAAAGCACAACAATTGCCAAACAGCCATGCCCTAGAGCCCGGATCTCTCACTTTATATTTCGACAGTGTTTACCAAAAGTCGGTATATTTCGACCGCGTCTCGGCCAAAATTTGTTTCCCAAGCAAAGTTTGTTCCATCCGTGCTCGACCCAACAAATGTGCTCGACGGTGTTTAACCCAAGCAAGATATGCTTCGACCGTGCTTCACCAAATTCGGGTATTTTTCAATTTTCAAACTTTTATGAGTAATCCAAATTTTAACGTTATATCCAAATCTATGATGCTTTTTTATCGGAATTAAAAGATTAAAGCTATTTGCATCTTAATTGCTTTACAGAGATGAACCAATTTTGAGCTGTTATTTTCCCGCATCTAATAAAAGTGAAACGATATCAATTATGTGGCTTTTTGTGGTATAACTGTTGTATAATCCTGGAACAAAAGAGTGTAAGCCCGCATCCAATTTCAAACGCTAATAATCTACTATAATCTAATTGTCGTCTCAGTCTTATTAAAATAGAGAATTTATAATCCCTCTTTTTGAAATCAAAAATAATCAATTCTAATTGATTATAATCGATTATTTTATCCGAATTTCTAATTTAATTGTTTTGCAGAAAAAAATCGATTAAAATTGATTATAATCGTTTAAAATCCCTTTTGGTTGCCATTTTGTCTTGGACCTTGTGTTTTTTGCTTTTCGTAGTCGGTGGTTGATGTTAAAAATGGGAAAATGGTTTTAACATGATTTCTTTGGAAGAGTTATATTTCTCCTACCGCGAGAGTTTTTCAACTAATTTTAAAGGGATCTCTATGAAACTTTTGTTTCGTGGTAAAACTTTGTGTTCAGCTAAACCAACGTGTGACAAGACATCTAATTTTTAGAGATTTTTGACAGAAAAAAAAAGATTATAACATTTTATTACAGATTATAAGAGATTATAAGTGGTTAAAAGAGGTTCTAAGAGATCTTCGGAAAAAAATTAAAATCAATCATAATTGATTATAGTTTATTATTATTTCACAAAAAATGTTATCATTATAATGGATTAAATAGTTCAAACATCTAAATTTAGGGCTTAAAATTAATTTTAATTTTGATGAAAGTACAATTATAATTGTAAAATAATCGATTATTTTCCCATTTCAACGAGTGCGGGTGACGTACTCCATTTTTAAACCTAATCTCTTTCGAATTGCAAAACGATACTGTTAAACTCCAGCCCCCAACGTTTAAAACGAACAAAATTCAGAAATTGAGTAACAAAAACGGCAACAATAATCAAAGTTGCGCCATTACGAGGCTAAACTGTGCACTGGATAAGATCACAATTTTGTGTCTGTATACTCCTGGATTACAGATAAAAGTCTTAAAATATGTTCCAAAAAGTCAGTGGATTCCACAAACAAAATTTCAGTGGATTCCGCATACATATATCTGTAACGTAAACTTCGTCGGCATATTTGTTTTGTTGCGGATTCCGCAACAAGCAAATATAGCTATTTGTTCGGGATTCCGCAACTGTAAGTGGATTCCGCAAAATGTAAGTAGATTCTGATTTTTGTTCAATACTGAACTTGCATATGAACAATTAAAAGCTGAGCTGGAATTCTTATCTCTAGCAATGCGGAATTTAAAAGCAAAGACTTAATCATTGTCAGCAGAATCCACGAACAAGTCTTAAAACATTGGTTACATAGATCGGTGCATTTCAATATTTGAAGTCATTGAGTTGAGATTGTATAGAACACACAGCATATTGACAAATTAGTTCAGTATTTGGGATTGCGTCAATCCCAAATACTGATTTTGGAAGATAACGCCGAATAAATGCAGTAATTGTAGTCATTGGATTGAGAGTGTATGGAAACACAACAAAGAGCATATCGTCAAATAAAGTCAGTATTTGAGATTCCATCGATACCAAATACTGGTCAGTATTTGGTATTGATGAAATCCGAAACACTGGAATAATGTGGAAGATCCATTATTTGGAGTCATAAGGTTGAGAGTGATTAGAAATCAAACGCATAACAGATCGCCGAATTAGTTCAGTATTTGGTATTCCATCGATCTCAAATACTGGTCAGTATTTGGGATTGATGAAATCCCAAAAACTGGAATAATGTGGAATATCCATTATTTGGAGTCATTAGGTTGAGAGCGATTAGAAACCCAACGCCAAGCAAATCGTCGAATTAGTTCAATACTTGGGATTTCATCAATCCCAAATACTGGTCAGTAATTGGGATTCCATAAATCCCAAACACTGATCTAATCTAGTAAATTTCTATTCTAGTAAGCTTTTATTCTAGTGAAATCGAATCATGTTTTTGAAAGATATAATGCGGATTCCATTTACAATTTGCGGAATTCACTTACAATTTGCGGATCTACTTACAGTTCCTTATTCCGACAAAATGCGGATTCCATTTACAATTTGCGGATTTCACTTACAATTTGCGGATCTACTTACAGTTCCTTATTCCGCAACAGCTCAATTTAACGAAACAAATGTTTTATCGTTTGTTTGCCGATTCCATAAAATGTTCTGGATTCCGCAAATACAGTTGCGAATTCCGCAAATTCGCCTATTTTTCGAGCAATTTTGAGCAGTAAAATGAATTAGGTATTCGTTTGTGGAATCCAAAACAGCTAAGAAGATCAAAGAAAAAGAGTAGTTTTGCGGATTCCTCTTACAATGCAGAAAAAGCACAGTTTGGGCTCGTAATGGCAGAAAAAAAATAAAATTGAAAAAAAGTAATGAATTTTAGCATGAAACGTAGAAAGCAGTTTATGTGCGTGAATTTTTGCATCTCAATAAAGTGGGAAAATTGGGAGATAATGGAGTTACCTTGTCCTTTTTTTAAAAATGAAAAAAAAAAATTTTTTTATTTGATGGGTAATTTATTTTATTTGCCTTTTTTTTTGAATATCTTTATAATCGAGTTTTAATTGATTATAATCAATTATTATTCAATTTCATGGGCACTGATAATAAAACTCAAATTAAATCATCTTTTATCTTATCCATGTAACATCTTTTGGAAGACTGGTTTGCAATTTGAGTCGAAAATGTTTAAAAATTATGTTGATATTTGAAAGATTTTCTTACAATTGATTACCGCGGGACAGTCGATACTTTTTGACCGTGCTCGATATCTGTTTTGAATTTTTGCTCGACCCAAATCCCTTTCTCGACTATTCTTTTTTGGTCGAGCACTAACATGTGCTCGATTTTGAAAGTCGAAACATAAAGTGAGCACCTCGACCCGGTAGGGTGTCGGATTCGACTTCGACTGATATGTTTCGCGGAGATGCTAAGCAAGTTATCCTGATCTTAAGTTGCCTAGCGTCGAAATGACGATTTACTCACTACCACGATTTTTTTCTTTTTTCCCATTTTTAGCTCTGTGTACCAAGAACAACAAAACAACCAAAAATTGATAAAGATTTCATGGACGAAGATAACTTTAGTTTGAAAAGGCGTTTTTTGTAATAATTGCTAGCGGAATAAAAAAAATAGCTTTAGATTTTCTTTTCTCAAATTAGTAAATTTTGTCAAAAAGTGTAGTGCAAATCAGGGGCGGACCTAAGATTTTCTCCAGTAAAAGCAGATTTTCAAAAAGTTGCACAATTTCAAAAAATTTCCCAGCGCTTCCTGATAACTATCAAGACCCTATCTTGACACAGTTTTCTGCACGGCAGGCAAATTTTTGAAAAAAAACGTGCCGAAAAGGGATGTGATAAAGCGTCCGCCTCCGTGTGCTCTTCATGTATTTGTTGTCATGTTTGTTTTGGGCTTGTTCAGCAGCCACTATGGGACAAAAGACTGGCTGGAGAACAGACATATGTGCCAGAAAGAGTTGGGCATGGATGACCTGGTGGCATTCAACGATATATATGAGCAGGAGTTCGTCATCAACAACGTCCGCAACTGCTCGAGGATCTCACATATGGATTATCTACAGGTGGGCGCTAAGAGTGATACCTAAGTGCAACTACTCTACTAAGCGATACGACACCTATGTCCAAACACGCGGCAGGTGCATTTAGGCAAACATGGTACATGAATTTCACTAACTGTCGGTTCATCATTTGTTAATCAAACTCCAAACTTACTTTAATATTTTAATCACAGCAGACTTTACCAATGACAGGTAAAAAGATGCACCACAATTACCAGTTTTATACTTTTTGGTCAACAGTTTGAGACAATTTAGATTTATTACTTTGGTTGAGTGGAGAGTGAGTTCAGCTTGATTCAGGTGGGAGCCAGCAGGTATGCGATTGGTAACTTAAACCACTGGCTGTGGGTGGGGGAGGGCAACGAGGAGGGACTGGACGAGACACAGTTCGAGTGGGTGGAGGGAATGGCTGGCGTGGAGGAGGAGGGAAAGGGCTTATCCGGCGGAGGGAGGTGTCTGGCCGCTGAGGTGGGTGAACAGTTTTCCGTCTGTTCGACCAATTAGCCGATCAAAACTCAACTCCAATACCTCGATCACATGAATAACCGACAACAGATTACTGTTTTATCATTTAAGCCAATTCAGAGCAGCATAGAAAAATGTGGTGGTAGGTCAGTAAAACCGAAAATGGGCGGACCAGATCAGTAAACAGAAAGTTCTTGATTCAACTACGTAATCACATTAGCTAAAAACTGACATTTTTATAAATTGACAATTTTTTTGTCAAGACATAAATTGAATAAAAAATAGAATAAAATAACTCTTCCCATGCGCAACGTAATTTTGAAATTATTGTTATAGCTGAGGAAACATTTATTCCAAAAACCTTTAATTCCGCAATTGATGTAATTATTACGTGAATCGGTTTTCTGGATCTGGTAATTTTTTGACTCATAGGCTCACTATACACATCCCGAAAAATGTGATAATTACGAGCTGCTTCATCAATGACGCGTTCGAAAACGACTGGGGTGCGAATTTTGGCTCTTAGCAGTCTTTGCAAACTCTGTCATCTTCCGAGCTCTTCGGAAGCCTTCAGAGGCATTATTTTTCAAAATGCCTAGTAGAATCAAACAAAAACTCTTGAAACTAACAAGAATGACATCAGGTCGATTGGAGGGGGTGTAAAGTTCCTGAGGGTAGCGCCCCATCCCTTTTTGAAAAACATATTTCTTGATATCAAATAAACAGTTTCAGTTCGGGTTTTTTATTGACAAACAGTTCTCGTTTTCACCTTTATTTTGTGTTTCGCCTCGAATTTAAGGCGAAAATTACGGGGCTCTTCCTGTTTTAGATGGACAAGTCCCGCTTGGATGAGTACATAGAATATGTATTCTTCCCCGGGAAAGACTTGCCAGATGACTCATCGCCAAGCCCCCTCAACAAACGGTACCGTCTCCTTTAACTCCCTCTCCCATACATTTCTTTTTCTATCACTCAACTTATACCTTCGACTGGTGATTGAATTAACACTTAATGTGTTTTGGAAACTTTTTATCTTTTTTTGCCAGCTAAACTCCATTGATCTTGGGACTAGTTCGAAACAAGTATTTAATATATACAATTGTATTCTTGATAACTATCATTGAAAAGAACTAACCAATCAAGAAGCATGACTAAAACGTACGATATTTTTTAATGCTGAAACTAATTTTTATACTTTCCGCCAGAGAAGAATAAACTTAACTTGACAAATAGTTGCTCATCCTCGCTTCTAACCTCGCAAGAACACCGGTATATACTAGATCTACTGAGACTAGTAAATATAAGAGTAAGACTAGGTTCGGTATTGGACTAAGAAGTTGCACGAATCTATCCGGGCGAAAAGAAGACAGCGTGACGAACAGACGTGTACTTCATCCGAAATTACTCTATGAGAAAGTCATACCGGACTTAACGCCTGCGACCAATTAAGTCTCGAACAGACCTCTACTAATTTAGATTTAGCAAAACAAAAAATAGAAAAAACAAATTAGATTCGAAACGATCAACAAAGTGATAAACCAACTCGAAAACCAAATTGGCTTACATTCAGGTCTCAATAAGTCTAATCAAATCAAGACAAAAATAAGGCTAAATCCAGGTCACAGCCAGGACGACAGATTGAACCTCTACATCATGAAACGAAGAAGCGGACTACAAAGTTTTTTTCTCTACAAAACTATTTATACAGTGAGTTTTCACTCGTTAATGCAAATTGCCTCAATTGGACCTGTAAAATTTTTAAAAAAGCCGTATATTTCACTATAATACTTAATTATTTCATTTTAGGAATACCTATTCGACCAAAAAAGTTTGTATCTACCTCAAAACTCCGAAATCTGCAATAATTTGGTAAAAACATTGAAAATTTTATGTTCATTGAACAAATAGATAATAAAAAAATCGTTAGTTAAAAGCATTTATGATTAGTTTTATAAAATTATAAACTTCTTTGCTTCTCGAGGACTTTTTTGTTATTGATCTTCTTCATCTAAAGCATCCAACCTTAAACTTTCTTGGATATTTAACTGTTTTAAATCATTAAATTTTCAATTAAATGTTATCAAGGACTGTGTTTGCTTAAAAAAAACCTTAACTTTAAAAACCAAAAATCAGATCATCAAGGATATCCTTGGATCTTAGGAATTATTTTCGAATATAGATCTTAAACTTTTATTCATAACTGTTTTTTCGTTTTGACCCAAAAACTAGATCATCAAGACTTTCTTTGGATCTCTTAAAGCTAGTGTCCAACGACCTCAAACGACATTTCGTTTTTCACTTTTTTTACACGACCCAAGTTTAATTGATTTTTTTTTCCAAATACGAGCCATTTCGATTACGCTAAACAGTGAAGAACTTCGGTTACTCATCCTTCACATGAGCCCCTCCTCTATGTTGACGCAGACTTAAACCCATCAAGAAATTAGTGAAAACTAAAATAGCATCTACTTGTGTTCTTATTATATCTGAAACTTGTGGATTGATTTACTATTCTCCATCCCTCATAATTAATTCGGATTAAGTTTTCTTAGATGTAAAGAACGTCAAATTTGTTTGAGAGCAGTACAAAATGTTTCTATCGAATGATATACTCTCTCCATAACCCGCCTTGTCGCGAAAAACCTTAGCGACCTATTACACGACAAAAACAAAGCAGTTTACAGTCAACGATGTTTTTCCGAATCCGAAAATACAACAGTATCATAAAAGAAATGTAAACGTAGAACAAAAAACACTTATACTCGAAAACCAGTAAGATTACATCACTGGAATACACTGATAAGACACAGTGAAAGTTACACATTAACCGTAATACCACACGAAACATGGTTCAATATGGGAAAAACTTTGATGATGACTCTATCCTCCATTTGTCATCGACCGAACAAATGACCCCTTAAAAGGACAAGTCCAATTTTGCAACAACTTAATAGTAAATTTGCTTCGAAAAAGAATTAGTCTATGCAAACAAGAGTTTCCAGAAGTAAAAACAAGAAGACAAGTACTAGATCACTACCTACCCGGTAAAAACAATATAACCTCACACTCTGTTATCTTCACTATTGAAATTTTACCACTAAACCCAAACAGTCATTTTGCCATCCCCCCATAATACAGACAGCTGATATAAAATTAGAAATTTCAAAAAATTTACATATAAAATTAAAAATATCTAACCTCAAAGCTCACAAAAAGCATACTCACTCATCACAAATGATGTTTTCTCCATCATTTACAATTATATTTTAATACTAATTACCAAAAAAAAACATTTTATGTATGTCCCCTACGAACATCTCGGCACTCAATAGTGAGAAAAGAAACTGATCTCTTTTCACAATTTTTAGACTCAACTCGTGAAATACTCACTGACCTAGAAATTTCAAAAATTATTCATTACTTGAAGGTATTCATTATGGTTCATTATTTGAAATTAATTGCACAAGCAAGAAAAAACTTTCGACTGCAAAGTGACGATGAAACACTTCTAGCAGATGAAACAGATTTTATGTTAAACCCAGAATGAACGATTTTTTTAAATATACCATATGAGTGAAGCAATTGCAACGATTTCAGAAGATAAAGATCACTTACAAGTAACAACCTTAACAACAGACACCACAACTTTCAACCTCAACACGATGTTTCAAACAAAAATAAAACACACAAGGAAACTTGCAAAAAAAACTAATACAAAGACAAAACATCCAGCTCCAAAAAACTTTCATGCTTTACACCAGCTTAAAATTTAAAATTAGGATCATTTGTATGTATTCCATTTTTTATGTTACAAAACAGAACCCACAGATGTAACACGCAAACAAATGACCAAAACAGAAAAGAAATAACTTAACAAAGAAATCTTTGCGAGCAACGAAGAAATTTTTGCGAGCTAACTTTGTTTTTTTTTACTGGATTAAGCCTTGTTGAAACATCTCAAGAAAGCAGTGAACCTAAATACTTTGATTTGCGAACGTACTACCACAGTCATCAAATAAAATAAAGAAAATCATACCAAAAAATCACTCTAAACTTCTCCCCACAAAACAAAGAATCGTAACTAACAAGACGAAATACAACAAAAGAAAAATCACACCAATCAGCTCGACTCCAAAATCAAACACGAAAAGATTATAATTTTTCATCCGTCAGTCTAAAAGAGTGAAGAAAGCAGAAGTTCAGCAACCTATAATTGATTAAAACACTCACTGAATAATTTCGATTAATCAGAAAAAAAATCATCAGAATTATTCAAAAACAATTACTCAAAAATTAGGCAATTCTATCATTTGTAAATATCTCACTCTTCATCCATTAACACTGCTTTTTTTAAGCGGCATAGCTCCATTTTGAACTAAAACTTTAACTATAACTCAGAGACCTCCAGGTCAAAAATAAGAAGTACCCTTATGTTTGACAACCTAATTTACGATAATATAAAAGTTACAACCGCCTTCTATCAACCAATACAAAAACCAAAATTTATGAATACAATTACATCACGTAAACTCCCAGGAAAAAAAATAAAAAAGAAGCCTAAAATTTAAAAAAAATCGTTAGATTGATCAACCTAAAAGACAAAATAATCCACAAAGACCCGTAAATGAAAGCAAGAATTAGCAACTTTATACCAAAAACTCCAGACTTCTCCTCACCAAAATCTCTTCAGATTCAACCCACTTGTCAAAAATTAGAAAACAAATTGATCTCAATCGATATAAATGGGAAGAAAAACAAAAAATAGTTCGCAAAGCAAATCAATTTTCAAATGCTCACTCTAAACTCAGTTTCACAAATTTTTAAAACACTTTTTTTAACTATCATACAAACTATGCCCAATACGCTAAATTTTCGAACTTTTCTATCAACCGATATTTGTTTAAAATATTACTAATCACTTTCATAGTTTTTTTAAACCAATTTGTAATTTTTTTCCCCACTCAGAACCTATTTTCTCTTTCCCATACTGTCGAAAACCTAACTAGAAAAAAGTTTTTTCTAAATGTGACAAAATCTACTAAATAAAAAAGCCCTTGTGATAGTTTTCGTCAATTTTCTAATTTTAATAGCCTATTTTATCTTAACCTTGCATAAATGTCTTAAGAAAGCAATTATAATTATTGAAGCAGTACACCTTAACATCAAAGATAGATAGATCAAATACAAACTACAAATAATACAGCCCCAGGGCCATTAGGAATAGATAACACGAAAACTTTAGAAATGCAACTTTCTCATCTACACTTTGAAACCACAGAAGATGAAAGTGCAAACCAAAAATTTTTTGGTAATAATTTTTTCAAAGAAGAACACAATTTTTAAAGTAATCAATATGAAATAACTCTGATCTTTATCAAAATAATTATGCTAACTCAAGTTTCAACGAATAAAGTTTTGTTGAATCAACCAAAAAAAATAATCTGCCACATATTGTTGACAATACGACACCAAAAACACCCCCACCTTGTGGAAAAAAATTGGTCAATCCCACTTTTTACTAAGCCCAAAAAAACAAAAAATTTTCAACCATAAGACCTTGAAACAGATTTTTTATTAGACTCAGGAGTAGAATCACACAGAATCAATTTTTAGGCCTTGAATGAAATCCATTTATTTTATCCCAAACTCCCATTTTCCAAGACGTTAATCAAACTAGCCACAGCACAAGGCTCACGCTTAACAATGTTTGAAAACTCCAATTAACTCTCATACCAACATGAACAATCGAACAAAATAAACTTCTATCAAAACCATTTAATGTCACAGATATTAAGTGTAATGTAAAAATTAAACCATTTTTTACTAGTTGTATACCATAAATTATTATTTTAAATAGTAAATTAGAAATTTAAGATAAATGTACAAAGACAAACAATAGTTCTCAATTTTTTTCAAAGCTTCAA